GAGCTGTCATTGCCCTCTCAGGGGAGGTGCCACTTGCCCCCTCAGGGGAGCTCTCACTGCCCCCTCAGGGGAGCCGCCACTTGCCCCCTCAGGGGCGGCGGCGCCGCCTCGCCCCCTCCCTCTCACCGCGCTCTCCCCGCCGCTCTCCCGCAGACCGCCCGCTCCTGAGGGACAAGCGCCACGTGGAGGAGCTGCAGGAGCCGCTGCTGTGGATCCTGTACAAGCACTCGAAGCTGCAGCACCCGGGGGACCCGCAGCGCTTCGCGCGGCTCCTGGGGCGCCTCACGGAGCTGCGCTCGCTCCGCCACGCCCACGCGGGGGCGCTGCGCGCGCGGGACCCGCGCCTGGCCGCGCCCCTGCGCGACCTCTGGGACCTCCACTAGGCGGCGCCAACACCCGCCGGAGGAAGGCGGGGGGGGGGCTGCGCTGCCCTGGGGGGGGTCCCGCGCGCGCCGCTTCCCGCCCTTCCCGCCTGCCCTCAGGGGCCCGCGGCGCTCCCGGGGCCGGGCTCCGGGTCCGCGGGGGTACAAAACCCGGTTTAAATTGCCCTGAGTGCCGAGCAGGTGCCCGCGGTCAAGCCCCAGGCGAGCGCTCGGCTCCCCGGGGATGCGTCAGGTGACTGGCGCGGCCGCCCGGCTCGGGCGGTGCTGCTCTGGAGGGGAGGGGGCGAGGGCGCCTTTCCTGAGGGACACGGGGACAGCGCTCCGGCCCGCGAGTGCCCAGGCAGAGCCCTGAGCCAACCACACACGGTGTCCTATCCCTGGAAGTGTTCAAGGACAGGCTGGACGGGGCTCGGAGCAACCTGGGATAGTGGAAGGTGTCCCTGCCCATGGCAGGGGGTGGGACTGGATGATCTTCAGGGTCCCTTCCAGCCCAAACCATTCTGGGGTTCTACGCTGGCGTGAAAGCCCCTGCTCTGAGCTCATTCCACTGCACTCTGCTAAGATCGGTGCTGGGGGGAACACCTTCCGTTTCGATTTCAAAGACTTCTTCTGTTACTCTCCATCAAAACCGAAGGGAATCGTCTTCTTGAGCATCTGCTCTGTGTTGTGACTGTACACCAGCAATGATGATCCACGCGGGATGTGGGGAATTCAGCACAGTGAGCAGTGTCCCACTTGGCTGCCCGCTCTGGCCTTGATGTCCTGCTCTCTCACCAGATCAAATGTGCTGTGAAAATATTCTGTCATCACACCGAGTTATGGGAATTCAACAAGTTATTTTTTAACTTTCGAGGCTCCTTATGAAACATGTTTGGATTCATATGTGATATTCTGGCAGGAGATGAGTTATGCTATTTACAAGATGAACTGTCGTGACTTAAAAACCTTGTGAAATGACATTTTCATGCTAAAACATAATTGGATATAGTTTAGAACTACCCATGGGAGTAAAGAAAAAAAAAACAACTGGACTTTAAAGAAGTAATTTTGCTTTCTGAGTCCTTTTCCACGCACCTGTGCACGAACAGATAACAGCTGATGGGTTCTTGGCATCAAAACCTTCCACTTTGGCCACAGTCTATAAAGCAAACCACAAAAACTCAAGAGTTTGATAACCCACTGTGAAGTAAAGCAAATAAGAGAGTTCCAAAACCATTGCCAATACCTTGGGCTTTGAAAATTTTAAGCAGTGGATTTATTAATAAAAAATGTTATTTTCACATTAACTGTACTTTTTTTTTTCCCTTCTGGATTTTATAATCCTTCTTTACCAATCTGCCATAAAGTAATTTGTGCAGGGGTTTAACAAATTCCCAGGTGGTGATTTTAATTTGCCACTAGGTAGCCCAAACTGTGGTGAAATCACTGATTCAGGTAAGACTAAAATAAACAATTACCTTGCACATTCTTTAGGTTTTTTTAATATTTTGACAACTTGAGAAAGCTCACATTTTTTATCTTACTTAAGCAGGAAGAATGTAACTAGAATTTGAAACTCCAGGACAGGGTAAGCACTTGCAGGCACTTCCAGGGATATGTAACTGTCACTTGACACTACTGAGAGTCATTTCCTAGTGGTGTTTACAAATCTGTGTTGTATAAAGCTTCAAGAACAGAGGGTGCAAAACAGAATGTGGAAAATAAGAACAAATCTGAAGAAATTAGGACTCACCCAGGAGTGACAAAGCACAAATAGCAGTGTTATTCCTACAAAGTATTTAATTTGGTTTGCCTTGCTTCTAACCAGGAGTATCTTGGAGGGGAAGAGTTCCTGAGGAAAAGCAGCCTCCCCTATCCCTTCCTTGCAGCCATTTTAATTTTTAGTTGGAATCTGAGGGTGGCCTTGGGCTGTCACACCTGGGGCAGACTTTGACCTTCAGCGTTCTTACGATCCTGGGGTGGTATCATCATTCCTCACTGATAATATTGCAGAAGGCTTCTGGCTTGTCTTTGGTGGTGGTGGTTTGTTGGTTGGTTGGGGTTTTTTTGTTTCAGTTTTGCCCTCAGCGTAGCGATTGTGTATCTCAGACTAACAAATATCCAGCACTTTCCAAAGAAGTGAAACCAAATCCAAAGAGCTCTATCGTCCGAGCCAAACAGCAAATAGGATTATGGAGTGTTTTCAGACCATAAATGGAGATTGCTGGCATATGATATGCAACAAAGAGATTTGCTGTTTTAATCTGTGGTTGATAGGAAATGCTGCAGCTAATCCTAGGAAAGAAAGAGAAGAGCAGTCGTCCGTGAATCTATAAATTTCAGAGATGGGAGCTGTGTTTTAGGCTGTTACAGAGACTTGAAACAGCCAGATTAGCTTTAAAAATTCAGCAGCCATGGGTTGTTTAAATGCAAAATCTGGCAAAAACACTTGTTTCTATGGCAGTGTATCAGGATTGTATTTCCTTTTATCAGTGGAGGGCTGCAACAGGATGGGGGTTGGAAATAATTCCTCTACCAGAATACTCATATTTCAGAAATCTGATTGGTTTTGTCTGGTTTCCATCATCAGAGCTTCCAATTCTCAGTTGTTTGCAAGTTTGGACATGTTTTTGTTTTACCATCCACAGTTCTATATGTCCTGGAAACAAGGGTGACCCTGCTGTCCTGAGAAGCCTGCTCATGAGACCACGAAGTTTTCATGGTGTTGTGCTACTACCAGGGGCAGAGTGAGTAGAAATAATGTGTGATAACTTCTCCTTGTTCCTACTTTTATCTTAGGCATTGGTCAGTGACAGGGAATCCTGTTAAATTGCTGTCACATATGAGCTTCTGGTATGCACTGAATTTCTGTAGCCCATTACAGAGACTCCTGGGGAATGAACCCAGGATTTTTATAATTACTAAATTCCATTTACAGGTATCACTTGAAACACTTCCTGTAGAACATCAACACACCATCTTTCACTTAATGAAAGTGTAAAACCCCTGATGTCAGTGAATGGATTGATTTAGCAAAGAGAAAGGTTAAAGATAAATATTTAACAGTGTGACTGTCTGTTCCAGAACAGGGCTGCAAAGCTGATGGCTATAAAAACACATCAGAAATTTCTGTCAGTGGCTGTCTGCAGGTCAGCAGGAGGGCAACGGAAGAAACGGATCCATAAGCATCAGACTTGTAATGATGGATTTTGGGAAGCTGTGTGGAAGAAGCCTCGGGCAGTCACAGGTTGTGACACTGGACTTGGTTGTCCTGCCAGTCTTTTGTCTTGCTGCTCCCTGTAGGTTGTGGGATCTCACTCCCATCAAGTGTTCAGAGAGGTCAGTAGTGAATGAGCTCCATGGTCACAGCCAGGATGATCCAGGAGGTTTATTGACAGCTGAATGGTTTGTGTAGATCCCTGAAGGTGTGTGAGTGTCACCCTGGTGCTCTCCCATCTCTGACAGATGGGCAGGATAATGTGGTGCCAGCAAGGACGAGGCAGTGCCAGGAGATTCTGTGCCCATATGAGCGTGGAGCTGAGCTGAGTGTGAGGAGCAGCAGTCACAGTAATCCCAGGGTTCACTCAGACTAATTTATTGCCATTCCAGATAAATGAATTTTCACTCTTTTGGTCAGGTGTTTCTGTAGTGCACTGAGGTGGGTTCAGGGACTGGGTAAAAACATTGCAGGGAATAAAGGCACTGCTGGGATTACACTGCTCCAGGGGCTGATAATTCCCAACATTCAGCATCCACCACTCTGGGCTCTGCCTGACACCTCTAAACCTTCCTGACAGGGGGGCTCTGGACAGATGGAACCAAGGGCATTGCATCTCTGTAATTGCCTTAACAACCAAATTTGTAATCACTGCAAAGAATGAAATTGGGTTTGTGTGGCATGACCTATTTTATGTAACATTGTCTTGACGGTCATTAAATATGTTTTCATCTGTTAATTCTTCATTGCTCAAATCCTGTATCAGCTTTCTGTTATTTTACCTGGCTGGCAGAGAGTTACCTGGGTCAACACTCTCCCCTTAAACATTGCCATAATATTAGCACTTTTTAAAAATATTTTGATATTTCCTCAGTATTCCAGACCTGTTGAAATCAGCATTAGGCAGCTAATCATGTTGAGTTTAAAATACTTATTCCTTATATGATTTATTTCATAATCTTTGTTACAAATCTTTGAGTTGGTTGTTCAGCCACTATGTTTTCAAATGCACAAGTACTTGCTGAAGCTTTTGCATTTACTCTGCATCAACAGCTTGTCTTCATCTCGTAATGTCCCTTGACTTTGCTGTTGGCCTCTGGCCTGGCAGAAGTTTATTTCCTACTCTCCAGCTTCCTGTGCAAGTTTTTCTACATTTTCTCACTTCCAACAGTGATTGTTGTTGGTTTTCCCCTTTTTTCTTGCTATAGTTTTTATTGTTGCACTCTCTTTTTCATCTTCACTATGGTAGACTTTCAAGCACTGTTCTAATTTGCTGCTGATGTTTGGCAGACATTTCCCTAAACCTTGTTAAAGCAAATTCTTAAACCCTTTTTACCCTAATCTCAATCCTCCTCTCTTTACACCTCTTTTTCTCAAATCTGAGAAACTAGCACTTTGAGGAAGCAAAGAATATATGTCTTCACACTCTGACCTGTTCTCTGCCTCTCTTCTTGTTGGGTCACATGTGATACCCTTGCTTTAAGAATGCTACTTTTTAATTCTTATTTTGAGCACTTTTTGTCCTCTCTAGGATTTAATTTTACGAAATTCTTCCTTTTCCTTTCAGATTCTTTGTCTCTGTTGAAATGCTCCTTAGATTTCCCCAAGAACAAACACTCTTTTCTGTGATTAAAGCTTCAAACAACCAAACCCATAC